CATAACGGTTACGTTGTTTCTTGTGCTCTAGCATCCAAACGAATGTATTTCAAACACATTTCTGCTGATCGCAATGACAACAAAAACTTTGTCCGACACTATTTCCGAGGATGTCGTTATCTCCGATCTCCATCGCAAATACACATCCATGAATTAGTTTAAATTTCAAAGAACCATCGATCAAAGCTGCAGAACTTACCTGACAATCATCAGGTTTTTAAGTTTTCTGTAGTACCAACATAACCCAGTGATGGTTGTCTGTTCATACATGAGTACTTATGCAAACATGAACTGCTAATAGCTAATAATGGAAAAAATCCAAACAAATATAGACAAAAAAGACTTACTTTGTAGCCCACAATGCACTGCACTGAATCCATAGCGACTTACAAGAGGTGATGGAGGTGTTGGGAGGACACAGTAGTCTTGATTTATGTATCACGATATGCTTGTTGTCCTTCAGTATTTAGCATTTCAGCAGTTGAGGAGAATAAAATGTTTCCTTTTAGGAAGGACCACATCACGATACACCTGAGCTGTTTTCACCCAACAATGATTAACATGGGTGATTACATCTGATGCTGGTTCATTGTAATGTTACTGGTCGGGTGTTTGTGTTACATAGAGAGGACTTGTACCAACCAACACAACCATTCTTCTTCTTCTTCTTCTTTAGCTGCAGCCATGTTTGTGAAACCACGAAAGAGGGTGAAATGGGTTTTGTGCTCTCTTTCTCCCTCGCTCACTCCCTCATTTTTCTTTCTGCTCGCTCTTTCTGTTTTTCTCTCTTCAGCTCTCTTCCCCTCCCCCTCCCTCTCTGTTCGTCTATCCTCCTCTCTCCCTCTTTCATTCTCCCTCCCTCCTTCCTTCTCTCTCTCTCTCTCCGTCTCATTTTATTCCTCTCTTGCTCTCGGTTTCCATCACGCTTTACCCCTCCCTCCTCTCTCTCTCTTTGCCTCTCTCTCTCTCTCTCTCTCTCTTCCTCTCTCACGTTGCACACTGCCCCTCCCTCCCTCTCTCTGCCTTGCTCTCACGTTGCTCCCTGCCCCATCTCTCTCTCTCTCTCTCTCTCTCTCTCTCTCTCTCTCTCTCTCTCTCTCTCTCTCCCTTGCTCGCTCTCCCTCTATCTCCTTTTTCAATCTTTTCTGCCTCTCTCTTTCTCTTGCTTTGCTCTCCCTCTACATCCTCCCCTCCCCCACTGCTGCCTCTCATTTTCTCTCTCTCCTTTCCTCTCTCACTCCACCATTTCACTCACTCACTCACTCACTCACTTGCTAACTCACTCCCCCTCCCCTCCCTGTTCTCTTTATCTCCTCCCCTCCCTCCCCCTTCAATCCCTCTTTCATTCCATGCAATCATCTGTTCTCTCTCTCTGCTTCCTCTATTACGCCCCCATTTTGTCCTCTGCCGTTTCCCTTTCTCTCTCCTTCCTCCATGTTCTCTCTATCCTGTTGTTTACCACACTCCCCCCCCCCACGACATATATGTCGCAAACTTTATTAAAAAAATGTTTTCTATCACAGAAAAAACAAACACGTCAGGGGTAGAAACCGTTACGATTCTACAATAAAAGCTGTATTTTGACTAAAACCTTCTCTCCCCATCACAAAATATTAGTTTCTTATTTAACCCGTCCATCTGTGATGCTATTTACTCTCCTCTGTTATTCGTGTTAACTCAAATACAACCGTAACAATCGGGCCCCAACACAGCGGTTGCTTCTGTTTGTCTCTGTTCAACAAGTGGTTAACTTGCCGGCCTACAAAACAACCACAAATGACCGTAATGGTCTAGACTCGACTAGACGGAGCAGGTGACTGCCTCGCCTCTCAGGTGAACAGAGGCGATGGCCTCGTAAACCAGAGCTGGAAGTTTGCTGAGGTTTTACTGCAGGTACAAAAGTGTTGCTGCTAGAGCTGCGTTTGAAGTTCCTTCAATACAGTAGAGCGCTGTAGGGATGACGTATATTTGTAGGCCAACCCTGGAGATCAGCATCGGACTGGTTCCCTCGACAAAACGCCAACGGGAAACACAAGTTTACGATACTTGCACGTTTTGTTCGGCAAGATGATCTTCACAAGTCAACACCACTTTTATCTTTGTTTAAAGTGCGAATGCAATCGGCATAAGTAAGTCACTGTGATGACGTTTAGTAGTCTCATTTAGCCACTTGTTAGCAACCGCCTTTTTAACGACACGATAACAGCTTTTAACATTTACGAGTGGTGTATTAACTGACGTATTTTGTATCGTAGGACACAACTTTGAAATATCTCAAACCTGAGTAAACCCCAGACCTTATTTCAGCCATCTAACTAGACGAGGGAACTGCAAGTGCTAAAATGCTAACTCCTCTCCAGGTTGTAGGACTCATTCCTGCAGCGCTCTGTGGAGTTGCAAGAGGAGAGGAGTTATTTAAAGTCCCATTCATGTTTCCCAAAGACAACGTTACATGTTATGTAGTTCTTTGATAAAACGTTACAGGCCTGAGTACATAAAAACATGGGGCAAGAAGTTAACTACAATCCCCAAGGTGCATTTTGGCGAGAAACACCCACATGTCAGAGCTTAAGGTTATTCTTTACAATCTACTGTTTCAATCAGTTCTCTTTTTATTTCAGTGTATTTATTTTCTACGTCACTCACAACATCGAGCGGGTGACTGTATTCAATACATTTCAGTCGGTACCAAAATAGATTGAGCACAGTTTCTGCCCTTGCTGTTGGAGTGGTACTGTTTACTCATTGTTACAAAAGTCCACAGTGAAGTCTTCTAATACCTTGTTCTGTTCAACCAAACATTTGAAAAGCCGAACAAATTCACAGTATAATGATGCAAAGCAGAGAAAAGCAGCAAATCCTCACATTTATGAAGCTGGAACCAGTGAATTTTCGCCATTTTGCTCGATAAATAAACGATTGATTGTTTTTTTTTTAAGGCAAGATGCCTTATGACTGAATCAGACGTTCCAGACATAATGTGGAGCGAACATGGATCCTGCAAAGACTGCGATGGCCAAACTGTCTTCGGCCAGCTCTGTCTGGACCATGTCTGGTTGTGTCCCACCTCAGTGCCTTTTTTAATCCAGATAAATCCAGAAGGAGTCTGGGTACAGCCGAGACAGACAGCAGTTTACAGCTGTCATCAGAATGCATCTCGAGCAGCTACGTTCGGTCAGGTTTCACTTCCCTCGCCCATTTGATTTTATCCGTGGGAAGCTGTGACTGCTGCGAAACAGAAGCAAAATGAACTTCACTATGGAGCTACAAAATAGAAGCAAAACTATAAATCCTTTAAGATATGATTGGGAGTTTGAAGCTGAACAATGGAACAGACCAATTAACAAAAGCATTATGTGTTTAATTTCCAGGATTTCCTCACTTTTGCTTTATCACATTTTAAATTAAGCAAAACTTTTTATTTTACAGACTAAATGCAGGGAAAACAGCTTTGTGCTCGTCTGGGTTGTGATTGACAGGAGATGGGTTGGTGCTAGCAGCATCACCCCAGAGAAAGTTAAATATTTGTGTCAAGTTTTATTTTGAGATTATAGAAAACACTACTAGTGTAGTCCACCTTAACAAAGCACATAGAATCAGAAAAAAACGGGTTATTATTATAGTTATTAGAATCATAATGCTGATTATATTCTCCAGTAATCAAATACACATTTAGTTTATTAATGTTATGGAATTCTTTGGAATCATTTATCCAAGAATTGACCAATTGATTAATCAACGGATGGTTTTATCTCTAATTGTAATTAAGCAAACCTAATTGATGTTTTTTTTTTTTTTTACATTTAAAGCAGTAATCATATATATGAGACTCTTTACTTCTTACTCCTCCTAAATGAAATGTAAATGAATGCTTTCTAGACTACAAGTTTCTCTCCTCTCTTTCAGATTTCGATTCAATCCTTCCAATCAGATCCGTGCTTTCTCAAAGTGATCAGTCGTGTCTATTCATTTGTTGGACATTCGGCGGTTCTTCTGTAACTCCCAGTGACGAAGCGTTTCACTGTATCTCCCATGAGAGCCATGTAAAATCATACCTCGAGAAGGAGCAATGCTAAAAAAGACATTAGCTGTCTAGCGCATTTTAAACACAGCTGTTTCTTCACATGGCAATTAAAAACCGAGAGCTCAGACTGTGTTGACTGTAGTTGTGATGTGGGAGGATGCACGATTGTCACAAATGAATGTTGTCGAGGGAACACACCTTCAACATACACTGCAAAATGCATACAAGACCTCTTAAATGTAGGCTTTGTGTACGTAACATACTGTTACTCATTTCTGTGGAGGAAGTGCTGGTCGGGCTCCTGATTCCCGTTTTCTCATTTGCCTCCATAGTTTGCCCTCTTGCGTTCTGTCTCGGTTTCGTGATTCAGGATGTGCATGAGCTTTGACATGACCCTCTCGGGCCACCGTTGGCACCGTCTCACAGCTTCGCGGCTGTCTCATCTCTCCACGCTCCCCTAATTTTCACGGGAGATGCCGTGAAAAAAAGATGAAAGTTCTTCTTCACACTCTAACTTTGGACAGGTTGGTGTCAATCAATGGCCCAATTTGTGTGTGTGTGTGTGTGTGTGTGTGTGTGTGTGTGTGTGTGTGTGTATGTGTATGTGTGTGTGTGTGTGATTGATTCGTAGAGAGAGGGATACATTGGCCTGTTTGCTCCATCATTAAAAGAAGTACCTTTTTATTCTCTCCCTTTCACTCTCATTTTATCCTTTTCTTTCCCTCCATCTATCTTCCATTTCTTATTCTTTTACCGCATTCTGCTCCTTCCCATCCCCCTCTGTCTCTTTCTCTCTCTCTCTCTCTCTCTCTCTCTCTCTCTCTTTCTGTCTCTCCCCTCCAGCCCTCCCCGCTCTTTTCCTTCAGTATTCTCTCCTTCCACTCCCTCTTCCTCTCTTTCACATCCTCTCTCTCTCTCTCTCTCTCTCTCTCCTCAATTCGCTCATCTCCTTGTCAGTCACCTTCCCTCTCTTTTCTCTCTGTCTCTCTCGTCTTCCCCTCTCCCTACATCATATACTTGCATCCAAGTCTGCACAAAACAATCTTCCAACACTTTTTTCGTACTCGTAAACCTTACTTTATAAATGAGAGAGTGATAGATATAAAGGTGCAGATACAGAAAGAGAGAGAGAGAGAGAGAGAGATAGAGTGATGCATGGAGGATACACAGAAAAGGACTCTGCAATAGATGGAGCTACAGGAATAAGCAGATAAAGAAAGGGAGACAGACAGGGATAGGCAGAAACAAAGACAGAGAATGACAGACGGAGATGGAAGAAAGCAGGGAGAGTGAGGCAGGAGGCAGCCTGGTGGATCCATAATTTCAGACTATGATGTTGATTTTATTTTGTCGGTGTGTGTGTGTGTCTTGTGACTTTGAGGTGACTTAGCCCATTTATCATCAGACTATCGAGGAGCCAGTGATATGAGCAGTGCATTTTTGTTTGTTTGTTTGTTTGTTTGTTTGTTTTTAAATCAACCTCACGCTGATTTGTTGGGAGAACGTTTGTTTGTGTCTGGTCTGCGTTTGTGATGGTGTGACCAGAGTCACTACCAAAACTGTGTTGGGAGAAGAAGAAGAAGAGGGGTGGAGGCGGGCGATATTAGCCCCGCCTCCCCTCGTCCCTCACGTATAAAAAGGAAGGGAACGTAGCCTGTTCTCACTCAACACACTCGCACTGAAGAATGAGATCCTTAAAGCACCTGAAACCTCACAGCAAGAGGAGCGTGGTGAGTTCATTGGCTCTCCCTCGTAGCATGTTAAGTGGTGGTTTACTGAGGCAACATGGCTTGATCCCACTCGCAGCTGAAAGACAGGTAGAGAGCTGCCTTCAGGGGTGCTTTTTGGTTCTTGGTAGGTTTTCTTTGTTTTTAAAGTTGCCATTTGCAGATTTCTTAGTCTCTCACTAATTAAGACTTGTGTCTGGCGTTAACTCCGTTCGCCCTCTTTTGAGCTCTTTTCAACTCTTCTTCCTTCCTCTTTTTCTCTCGCTCGCTCTGTTTTTACTTCACAATTTTATTTATCTTTCATTCTGTCCGGCTTTCATTTTGTCATTTTCTTTCTCCTTCTGTCTCCTGGTTGCTCACTGCATCTCCCTCCCTCTCTCTGCCTCCCTCCCTCCCTCCCTCGCTCTGTCTCCACATATCTTTCTTTCTCTTTCTTCCTCTTGCTCTATTTTGACTGCTGCCTTACACTCACTCTTTCACTCAGCTCTCCCCCCTCCCACTCCAGTCTCTCTCTCTCTCTCTCTCTCTCTCTCTCTCTCTCTCTCTCTCTCT